GGGAACAAGAAAACTTGAAGTGCTTAAAGCTGGCAGTTGGTTTTTTTTTTTTTTCTTCCCAGACTGTCAGCAAAGTGAATGTTTAGGTGGACATTTTATATTTTGTCTTTTGTGTGGGTCAGTGTCCACTGTCTCCAAAGGTTTAAAAGGTTCTGGGATCTGCAGCACTAGTGTTTTTATCGTGATTATAGATATACAAGCCAGTGTTTACAGCTTATATTGTACTCACTTTTTTGGCTTATCTGCAAAATTTAAATAGATGCCTATATGCCAGTATTCCTTGGTAAGGCTTATGTAGTTATCATTTTTGAAATGATCTGATGTCTTTTTTCTGATTCTGAAAATAAATTTTTCCAAATTTTGTCCCAGCAAGTGAGCTGTAAACTCTTGAGCTCTAGACAAAACTAATTACAACTTTAGTAGGACAGTTTTCAGCATTAAAAGGAGATGAAAGACATCAGAGAGCCCAAATTCCAACAGCCCATGTTCTACTGGAGTTTAATTCTGTGTGTAACTCAGTACGTACTTCTTTCTTGGTGGAGGGATACCGAGTAGTTCTTTTCTCATTCCTTTTTCCTTAAATGATCGCATTTGGTTAAATTTGTTGTTTCTTTGTTCTGATACAAGCAGTCTTTGAATTTGGAATATTATGATGGTAGGTATTTCAATCCAAACCACACTCTGTGTGTAGTGATTCCTCTCCCACATTTTCCCCTCTTACTCATGCCAGTCCCATGTGCTTCATCTCATTTAGAATGTAGATCAGATGTTCTTCATATTTTGTGTATGCACGCAGTCTTGTTTGTGCTTAGTATCAAGGAAAACATGAATCGAGGGTCGTATTGTATGTCAAAATATGAGATAAGAGAAGGCACTGAAAGCATCTCCAGAAGATTGCATATTGTCCCATATAAGGCATGCTTAGTACCAGGTTTTGGGGGATTGAGGTGTTAGATATCGGTACTAATACATATGTTAAATTTCAAAAGCAGCAGTTTCTTAAAGCCTAAGGAAAGGAATAAAAATTCAGTCTAATAGGGCTGGGTAGCTGCTTTCACTGTCAAGTGTTAGGAGACTTGATCTCTTGCTAACCAGAGACTCTAACGCTGTATTTAATTAGGCTTTCTTCTGTGGTTAATGTACTACGCACTGTCAGTAGATATTTGTGTAGTCTAGTGATAAGGTATTGAAGCATGTCAAGCGCTGTATGCTGAGTATCGGAACTGTGGGCCCATCGTGTTTGTGTTTCCCTAGCTGATTAAGTAAACATCATGCTTTTAAAGCTTCATTTTATCGCTAAGAGGACTTTTTATTCAATCTGTACGTTTGCTAGTGCTTAGGTTACATGTGAGACAAACCCTCTCTTAACTTACTCCAGCTTTTGGTTAGAAATCTGTGCTTGCAGAGACTTCATTTTTTGACATCAATTTCAATATCAGTTTTGAGCAGTTCAGCACCTTTCAGTGGTGTAGCTGAGAGCTTTAAACTTATGCATATAGAGTGGCGTTTTTACCTTTTTTTTTAATGCATGGAGTTGTTTTATCATTAGGCAGTTTAGAGCATTTCTCTCCTAGTTCTGGTCCTAACTATTATAACACTGTATATGATAGCATGGTAGGTTTTGTAGGGCATCTTCAGTAGCCCTAAAGGTGCACAGTTTGCTAACGCTATAGAAACTGAGGCATTTCTGCTCCCAGCAGCTGAATAAAGGCTTGACGTTTTCTGTGGCTTTCACTCTTGGCAATTGCAGTGTTGCTGCTTGCTCTGGTGCTGTCCTAGGGCTGGTTTCAGCTCGCAGTGTAAGTGGGGTCACTTCTGCTGACTCCTGCCGTCCCGACGTAGCAGGTGACGTTTTCAGAATGGCGCATGGATGAATAATCCTTACACCGCGCTTGGGAGGGGGTTACGTAGAATTTTTAGCCGCGCTTTAAGGACAGCAAAACTGAGGCACGAAGAGCTCCTCAGACTTTAACTTATTCCCCTTTACCAGAGTGGCCCGAGGTGGTTTGCTTCTAGTAAAATTTGGCTTGTAGGGTTTTGAGGATTTACTCGTTTACATATTCTGGCCCATCTAACCCTGCCGTGTACACAGCCACACATAACACGGGATGGGAATGGCACAGGCTCGAGATGGAGAAATGCCTCCCCTTGAACCATCAACATTTTAGTAAACGGCTTTTCAGACTAAAAGTGGTCAGTGCACTATTACAGAGTTTGAAACAGAGGAAACATTCTGTTACCTTAGTCCTAGTCAAAGAAAAATTATTTAAGGTGGCAGAGCAGTGGTTTTAATTTTAAAAAAACGATTAACTCTGCAAGCTCAGAAAGTCACATAGTTCTGTGGTATCTTGATTTGCATCTGCTTTGCCCTGGGAAACTCTTCTTTTCAGGCCACAGAACTTAAGCTAGTATTAAAAAAAAATCAGTTGAATTTTTGGCACACTAGATTCAAACTACTTTCAGTGAAATAAATAACTGCCTTGTAGGTTCAGAGCAATCCAGTTGAATGGCTTCTGGACCACTGTCAATGAGGCAGGCAGAACTTGGTTCTCTGCTTGCAAATTACTTGTTTTTTTTTTTTTTTTAAACGTTAGGGTCTCCCAATTGTGAAAACCCACCTTCCCACACAAGTATTTTCTGTGAGATTTGTGAAACGTCACTGGTCTGCTTTGTTCCTGGCTGCTGTACAGAAAGTCCTAACGTGAATTGTGGGCCTGGTAGCATTACACAGTTTCAAACTCGGAAGTGGCATAGGAGAGGAGAAGGGAGGGAAGAAAGAGTGGCAAACGTGTCATTAGCCTAGTGCCAGAGCCTTCCCACGTGTTCCTGGATGGTAGACAAATTAACAGGTTCTGTTCTGAGCCCACCAAGTTAATTTTTTTTCTATCTTTTAACTTTGCTCTAATAAAGCATGGTTTACTGCCTTCACTTGCTGTCTTCTATCTATCTTTCTTTCTTTCTTTTTAACATTTAAGTTGCATGGATGTCTTTAGTTTTTAGCATGTGTTGATCTGCAGGCTAACGTGGTTAAAACTCTACTAGCCCTAACCACTTACCTTACGATGTGGAACTTAGAGCAGAACCTCAGGCCAATGCCTGATTCTCTGGAAAAAAGGGATGTCACAGCCCTGACATCTGCTGGATGCCTCATGGAAGGGGATGGAAAGGTGGGGTACTGGGGCTTGCTCTTCACTTCTAGTTACGAGAGACAGTATCTTTTGCCTCCAGGATCAAGCTGCTTAGGTTTGCCTCCCAGTAGAGAAATGTCTAGCTCCATTGCCTAGACAGACGACTTTGGATTAAACCAAGTCAAATGCAGTTGCCATGCATGTGGGAGAAAATCTACTACCAGAAATGGCGTTAGTGGGGAATTTCACCCAGCAACATTCAGCATCTGTGCCAGACTCGGGCGTTTCACTTGCTCCTCTCTAATCTGCTCGAGCTGCGCAGCTAGCATGAGTTGTCCACTGGAGTGGGACAGTGGTGTGCTCCTGGTGGAGGTGGTTGTGAACAGCGTAGCTGGCTTTTCCCAGTTTTTATGGCAGAGCTGCTTTAGACAGACTTTGCCAAATACATTGCGCTGGGGCAGCACTTCCCATGGAAAGCGCGTTTGTAAGTAGGAGGGCCGAGGAGGCAACGTTATTAGGGTCAATATGGCCAGTGAACATCACTCTACCAGATGCTGTAGTCATTTGCCTCATTATTTCTGTCCTGCTACTAGAATTGTCTTGCATATACTTGGCAGGAGAGATGTTGTGAAACTGTCATTTGTTGTTCATTGCTCCTTTACATTATTAAGTGGACAGAGGGAGGAGTAAAGATTTCTGTTGGGTCACGTATTCGGTTATTTGAAGGTGAACGGCTCCTGTGAGATTCTCATGTTCCCTGGTGTGAAATAAGTTCCATGTTGCTCTTCATCTTTGTACCTGTTGTCGTGCTCTTCACCTACTGAAATTGGATCCTGCTCTGAAGTTACATGGGTGGCCTCTCAGAGGAAAATTCCCCAAAACACAGAGAAGCAGTTTTCCAAATCTACCACTCTCCCTTTAAAACAAAAAGTAAAACTGAGTCGATTTAAAGCCACAACCTGCAGGCCATACAACCAGTTATTCTTGTTATTTTGGATCATATTCTGTTTATCCTGTTCTTTTCCTGGTTTTCCTTTTGTTTGTTTTGTTTGTTCGTTTTGTTTTTATTTCCCCTCTCTCGTTCTTTCTATTATATATTCTTCCTGTCTGACTCTGACATCTCTGAATTTGGTGTGGTTCGTAACAGAGGAAAAAGCAATGAGCAGTAGGTTGCGGCCGTTCTTGCCTTCCAGAGGCAATGCATCGTAAAGACTACAGGTGACACAGGTGTAGAGATAGCCATGTTAACTTGGACAGCGTTATGGGATTTTACCAACTCTCAAAAAATTTTATTTTACAAGGATTAAATTTTTCCTAAGGAAAGAGGAGCTTACAGATTAGCACAGCGGGCTCGAAAAGCATGTCTCTGATTTTGTGATTACTTTTAAAATAAGTAAACAAAAGAGGCGGCCTGAAAAGGAGGGTGATGAAGAGACAATTTGCGAATCTTTTCCAAATCCGTTAGGGGAGGGAGGTTCCTGCGTGAACTCGGTGCCGAGAACGCCCAGCCAGATATTAAGTGCGGCGCGCAAGGCCTGGGTGCAGCCTGTTCAGAGCCCAGAGTAGTTTATTTATGGCTCTTTGCTTTAGATAACTTTCTCCATTAGCATCTTTGCCCTTTATTCACAGATAACTCTCTCCCTGTTTCTAGGAGAAAAAAAAAGTGCGTTCGCTACATACAAGGTGAAGGCAGCTGCGTCAGCCCACCCTCTTCAGATGGAAGCTTACTAGACTCTCCTCCTTCCTCTCCCAACATGCTGTCCTCCCCCCCAAGAGACTCGAAACCACAGACTGAACAAACGCAACCTCTCTCGCTCACGTTGAAACCCGACCCGCTGGCACCCCTCGTCATGATGCCGCCGCCGTTTTTTTTTCGCCACCGCCGCCGCCGCGTCCTCCTCCTTAGCACAACCTTCGACATCCTCCTTGCATTCCCACAGCTCGCTGGCGGGGACACAGCCCCAGCCGCTGTCACTTGTAACCAAGTCTTTAGAATAGCTTTAGCCTCTTTAGCCCTCTCTCTTTTGTTTCGGGGTTTTAAGTTCTGTTGGGAATTCGGTTTTCGTTTCCTTTTTTTTTTTTCCCCCTCTCTTTTTTTAATTTTCTTTTTTTTTTCCTGTTGCCGTCGTTCGTTGTTTGTCGCCGTTTTTCGGTTTCGTTTTTAATTCGTGCCACGTGGCTACATTAGTTGATGTTTTATCGAGTTCATTGGTCAATATTTGACCCATTCTTATTTCAATTTCTCCTTTTTAAATATGTAGATGAGAAAAGCCTCATGATTCTGCCAAAATTTTTATCAACAGCTGTTTAAAGTCTTTGTAGCGTTAAAAAAATATATATATATACATAATTGTTATGTAGTTCCAATAGCTTAGTTTTAAAGACTGATTTTAAAAATTAAAAAAAAAAAAAAGAAGCAATTTTGAAGCAGCCCTTGCCGGAGGCATTGGTTCTTTATTATTTGTATTAAATACGAGCTTGCGAACCAATCATTTTACATCTGGTTTTTAAACCTTTAAGGGCACAACGAATGCAGTGCCGCTACTACTTCTTTTTTTTTTCTTCCTTGTGTGAAACAACCTTTATTGTGATGTTACTTGTTATTGTTTAAATGTACAGAAACAAAGGGTTAAAAAAAATGTGTTAATATACCTTGTTCCATGGTGTTGTTCTTTTTGGGGGAGGGAACGCTACTCAACAATTAAAAGTATCACAACGCTATTGGACCAGTAGTATTTATTGCTTTAGAAATTGCTTGTTGTATCTGTATGTTGTCCCTTTTTAAATGTTTTTTTTCTCTTTTTTTCTTGAAACATTGTATAAATTTTTTTTTCCCTTAGTGTAAGCATCTTATATATAACAACTCATTTGTACAAGGTTTTTAAGTTTATATATAAATGTGTATATATATATTTTTTCTGGGATTTTTGTTTTTGATTTCCTTTCGTGATTTTTTTTTTTTTGCTGTATGAAACACAGTTGCCACCAAATGGACATTCGCAGATGCATTTTTCAAGGATCAATAGTGTAAAAAAAATTGCTTTAAAAGCCATTATACACAAAAAGACTTGAAAATTTAGCAAGGGAATTTTTAGCAACGCTGTTTGAAAAATAGTAAGGTCCAAGTGTCTCCCATTCAGAACTGCAGCTGAATCCCCTGCGACATTAGGACTGTAGGCTGTGTGCAAAATTTTTATGTGCCAAAATTCTCAGTGACTTTTAACTTTCTCCCGACAACTTTATTATTTTTTTTAATGCTGTAATTTTTTTGTTCATCATGTTTTGCTGTGATGTTACATAGGTAGATATGTATGTAGTTTTAATGTCACCTATAACAGACGTGTTTGGTAGCAGATTGTCCGGAAAGCATTTAAAATGAAGAGGTATAAACCCTTAAGGGCCAAATTCTGTATATTAGATTATTCATAAAAGGAAAATCAGACTGCCACTTTTATGTACACTTACTACATACAGGTAGGTAGCAAACTTAAAACAAAAAAAAAAAACCTAGGCATGTTGATGTTGCAAAAAACGCTGTATAAAGCTGAAAAATTGTTCATCTGTTCATTCAGTGCCATTGTAGTTGACATGAAGCAATTGTAAAACTGTCTCAGATTTTTCTCTGGTTTATTAAGATGCTAACTATAACATTTTTTGTGAATACTTTGAATGTTTCCTAACAGTTGTGATGTTACTGTTCCGTTTTATGCTCTTATTCCGATTTTCATTTTTAATGGTTTGGAAGCCATTTTTTGTAATGAATAAATGTTCATGCTGTACAGTATCTGTAGCATGCAGTTCTGGATTAATAAAAGCAACTTAGTATGTGCAGAGAATGACTTGTCAACTCATTTATGCGTTGACTGCATTTTACTCTGGCCAAAAAGATTTACAGCCCGAGTGGAAAACTTCCTCATAACATTTTTCTTGAAAAATTTCGCCACTTGCAGCCAGCTCCGTTTGGTGAGAAATAACTCTTGTTTCGTTTGGGATCTTGTGCCACTACCTCTCAGAGTGTCTGCTAAATTCATTTTGTGCTAGGCCTCCCCTGCTCAGCAAACTGCTTTGCGTGAGTAGCAGTAGTTGAAAATATTTATTTCAAGCAAATTGTGCATGAGTTGGCAAAGGACAAGTAACACATGAGCTCGTGTAATGTTGTCCTTCTGGTGTGAAGCGATACGCCTGCATGATCCTGACTGTGGGACGGGAGGCTGGGGGTGATGATACCTTTAATTTCAGAAGAAAACATTTTGTTCAACCTGGTGATCCTACAACACAGGGCAGATGCACTATAAAAGTAACTCAGGAGAGCTTAGGTAGCCCTGAATGGTCACAGAGTCCTTGTGCTGGTCCCTGGGGCTTATCTCTTGGACAGATTTGGGCCCGTTTCTGCAAACTGTTTCTTATGCACAGAGTTCTCGCAGCCCTCACAGGAGCCCTGCTGTCAGTACTGAGCATCCAGCATCCACAAGGTGCAGTAATGCCTGCAGATGCTTCACTGTGAGAGAAAATTTACATGCCTGTTTGAGTTCAAATATTTTGATAAAATGGTTGATTTATTTGTTTGTTAACTGACTAGGGGTTTAAGCTTCTTAATTTCCAGGAAATACTCACAAGTGGATGTCACCATAGCCCAAGTCGTGTTGGCAGATCTCAGCCATAGTAATTTCTACAATGGTACTTAAGGGCAATTGTGAATTCAGAAATCTCTGAACAGGCCTGTTCCCTGCCTTCATGGTAATGCAATGCTTTTATAATGTACTTTTCATCAGTTGGTCTTGATGAACTCTCCAAAGAAGGGTAAACATTCTTTCTCATATAGAATACAGAGAGGTGTAGTGACTTTCTTCTCCAAGGATGGGGGAGTGGGGCCATTTCTGGAGGCTTTGTCATGGTCGTGCTGTCCCATGGCTCTGCTGTGGACTGCTGTCCTCGTCTTGGTGGTCTTCAAATCTGCCCAAATCCTGGAGGCAGCTGCCTGGTTTAGGTGCTGAAGGGCAACAGCACACTTTGGCGAGGCACCTCCGATAGGTGGAATGAACATGGATTCGGTTGCTTCCTAGGTGGAATGAACACGGATTCAGTTGCTTCCTAGTGTGCTCTGGGGCAAAGAAAAAGCGATCCATTTAAATATGGTCACCTTGCCTCAAAGGATAAAATCAATGCTGGGCACAAAGCAGTTACCTATTGGCTGCAGAAGGAATTTGCTTTGCAAAGGGGCAGGGAGGTACTGGGTTAGGGTAGTTTAGGATATTTAAACAGAATGTAGTTCCTAAAATTACTACTGGCATTTTTAAGGACTAATCTCCAAAATCAGAAGCCTTTTCTGTTTCTAACTGGTTAATAACGGCTCATATACTTGAGTACTGCTTCATGTTCCCTTCTAGAAGGATTAAGTCATGGTGAATATTTTACCAGGCACCATTTTCTACTTTGATCCAAGGCCTGATGCTGTTTCTACTGCGGTCTGCTACGAAACTCCCATTGACTTCAGTAGAAGCAGGACTGGAGCATGTCCCCTTGTCACTCGCTGCAACCACGTATGTAAACCTGAAGGTGTTCCCATCGCGCCCTGCTTCCTGCTCACCTTGCTACGGGGGGGGGTCACGTTGCAGCGCGGGTGAAATAGGCTTCTGTGTGAAAAGGATGTTGCTGTAAAACCCTTGTGTGTTTTGAAACGTTGAAGATGCCAAATCTTGCTATTGTTGGTAGCCAGGAAATTGAACATGAAGCTCAGATTTCTCTCCCACTACTTGAGGTTTCTGGGGTTTTTTTTTTTTTCCCCTTTTGAATGTTTTGACTCTTGCTAGAGCATGGCCATCCATCAGCCAGACACATGTGCTGCATCTCTGCTGGGAATAACTGTTCTCTTCTAATCTAAAACATTTTGCTCCAGGGAGATCTTTGAATACCGTGATTCAAAGGAGACACCATCAAGGTATGATTCCCATATCCAGCAAAATAGCGTGTTCTTTGCTCGCTGCTTTATTAGCAAACCTTTGGAAAGCAGAGTCTAAAATACTGTTCCTGGTAAATTGGTTTTCCTTCTGTGTATGCAGTGAGAGAGGCTCTTGATCCAAAGGTATATAGTACAGAGCTAGCGCGTGGTGAATAACTTGCCCTGTAACTCTCATATGGTGTGGAAAACAATTGCATATTCCCAGGAAAGCAACTGTTGGGGTTTCCTGTAAAGTTGTACGTTGGCTGTGTCCCTTGATGGGCTTGTGCCTTCACATTGAGCTCCGAGCTCACCCTGCCCAGAGGGCCTGAGGTGGGTCAGGGGTCCAAAGAGGAAATTGCTGTTATTTATGTGTACTCCCTCTGTGCGCAGGAGTCCAGGTGTGGGACCCCACTGTACCAGGTGCACTGGAGAGGGTGGAAGGACGGACCGCCCTTCCCATACCGCAGCCATGAGGTGAGCTCGGGTGCTGGATACGAGGGTGGGGCCTGAGCACACAGTTCGCTCTCCGATCTGAGCAAGCGAGGGCAAATCCCAGAGCCCTACGTGACAAGCGTGCACGCTTTGTCGCAGGGGTGGTGCGTTCTCGCCGGTTGCCACAGTGGGGCGGCTGTCACAGGACCGCGCAAGGCCCTATGTACAGTAGGTAATTCTCTGTAGCTATTGCTTCCATCTGTTTTTATGGGATAAGGCAAGGAAGCAAGTCAATGTATTTTGTGTTCAGGAGACATTTATTTTCCATTAGCTTTGTAAATCTCATTTTTCACTTAGTGTACGGAATTTTAAAAAGTTTAAGCGATTGCTGACTCAATAAACCAGTGCCACATGGTTTTAAGTTTTACTTAAAAAAAAAAAGCAGGAAACAAGATCAATCTTTAGAGTCCTATTAGTTTTATTGGACCGTAAAAAGATGTAAAGAGAATTCACAGTAAAGTAGTTGCATGGGCCATTGCTACAGCATGAACAAAAACAGTAATAATGATAATAAAAATGAATGCGTGTGATAGCGCTACCCAGCTATGTCTTACCTAGGCATAGGAATTCTTTACCACCTAAGTCTCTAGGTAAGGATTTGGATGCTGTTGTGGGAGATACGCTGCAGTTAAAGACTAAATTGAGTACAGGTCCAATACTGAGCTTCAGTGGTCTGTGTCAGATCCTGAAGTCTAAAGCCCTTCTGGCCTCAAAACTATGAATATGCAAATATCAGATTGTAGCAATTGCTATATTAAAAAAAGGTGTAGACAGGTACTTTGGCATTCATTTGGAGATGTTCTTGAGACTTTGAATGCAGATTAGCTATAACTGAGTGCGTCCTAACAGCCCAACCATTGTCAATAATGTTGCTGGCCCCTTTTTAGAGAGTCTCAGAGGGCAGCAGTCTGCCAGCCCTTGGACCGACTTTTTTTCAGGGCCCAGCCCAAAATATTCACTAGTAACTTGCACCCATATTTTAGAGTTGCTCTTTCTCTGAGGCTGGAAATGCATTTAATTTGTGGGGACGTTACCCCAGATTTCTAAGGCAATGGAGCTCGTGAAGTCATGCTGCCTGTCCATCTGTTTGACCCTCTCCTGATAACTCTTGAATCCTCTGGCATTTTGGACCAGATTTTACAGCGGTACTCAAACTCTCAGAGATGATGAAGTCCCTCTGAGTTCCAGGGAAATCTCTGCACTGAGAAGAGAGGCTTTCCAGAGCCTCTACTGAAGAAAAAGGCAAGGAGAACTCAGCTGTTATCCATTCCCTCTGGCAGTGTCCAGATGGCCAATTATCACACGTCTACTTCTGGAACAGCATCTGCGCTCTCTTGCCCAGCTGGCAGGCCAAGAAGATTAGGTAGGAGACATGGAGAGCATTGGGGTGTTGGAGGGAACAAGGGACATGGGAGAGAGTTAGGGGTGTAAGGGAAACTGGAAATATTGCAGCTGTAGTTTCTAATGTTATGCAATATTGTAGAGGGCAAGAGAGGGGAGGGGAAGGATGTGGGGAGATAAGAGACACATCTGCAGGACACCAGGCCTCACTGAAGTTACTGCTCACAGAGCAAAGCTGCTCAGCAAAAATAGAAGCCGCAGTGTAACCTGGTAATTGTAGCCTTGCTCCAAGTCAGTTGTTTGCACAAGTTCACCAAGAAACCCAGCGCCCTTTAGGAAGTGCTTGCTGTGGCTCCGGCCGGGCTGGCTGTGATGCCCATTGGCCTGGCTCCCAAGGGAAAGGTCTCCAGGGCAGGAAAGGCTCAGGGTGTTTCCACAGACCCGTACCGGGGTGAGGAAAGGAGTCTGGTACTGCCTGGGCCAGCCGGAGCAAGCTGGGCTGTGCCTGTGCCCTGCCAGCAGGGCTCAGGGGCTGTTCCTCCCTGGGGCTTGAGACAACCTACGCTGGCTGCTGAGTCTTGCTTGGCTGCGCTCCGCATGCTCCTCCTCTGAATGTATTTATCTGCTAGCCATGTGAGTGGCAGGAAGGCTTTTTTAGAAGAAGAAGAAGAAAGATTGCTACCTTATTTGCAAACAAGCGCGTTTGTAGTAGCTGGTTCTGAGGCGTTAGCAAACACCCTGGTTTAGTCTTCCTAAGAAAATGTCTCCTTTGCTCCCTTATTTTGCGTTCCCTTTTGAATATGCTGCTGGGGTATTTTTGGATCTAGTTATATCTTTTAAATCTGTTTCTTCCCCCTCCCTTCCCCCCCTGCTTTCCCAGCCCCCGCTGCCTCCCTGCCTGCTCCTCCTTCAAACTTATATAATGGCACATTATACAAAATAGCTAAGCAGGTGGGATTTTTAAAGACAGTGAGTGAGCATTTTTTTGGCCTAAATTTGGAACGAAACAGATGGATTTTAAGACCCTGCTTTTTCTATGAATAGTAACCGTTG